CATCTTGCCTTGCTGGGTCCTGCACAGTGCAGCTCATGCAGTGCACACCTCTTAGGACCTGTGGGGATGAGTGGTGTTCCAGGAGGGTTCTTTCCTGGTTCTTTCTGTTAAACTTCCACTTGGTCTACCATTTCGTTTGTTGTTTTTGTATAGTGGATCCACCAGCCTCTCTTAATGCCTTATTACTAAAACTCCCTTGTTTTTTGACAATGACCTTAGGCATATGCAGGTGCTATGTTCCAAATATAGTTAGTCCTCTTTGCCAGAGATGTGGAGATAATCTGTCTGTCCTTAACCTCTGGGCAAGACCTTGGTGCCACCATACTGAACTTGGGGTTGAGACAGTAACCTGTTTCTATCAGAGTGACATCTCTGTTCTATGAGAAGGTACTGGATTGTAGTTCCTGGTCTCCTTGGCTTGCTTCTCCCATTGAGGACCCTGTGCCCTACCTGTGAGCTGGTAGTATTATTGGCTTGCCATGCCTGGAGCAGAGCCTCCACTGGATAGGAAGGGAGTACCTGTCATCCTGGCCTCATCTGCCATAATAAAGAGACCTCCTATGACATGGAGCTCAGGGGAATATGCATTTGCCCCTTTTAGGGTGAAACTGTAGCCCTAGACTTGGAGCTGGAATAGAGAGGATCCTCTTCCACCATATTTGTACCCACTTGGAGCAGAGCCTTTATAACTAGAACTAGGAATCGGTGGGAGCAGGTTGTGGCTTAAATCACAGGCTCACTGTTCTGAGATGTAAAGGTTTTCCTAAATAATGTTCTCTGTTTGATATATGCCACATATGGGAAGGCTGCACCTGCTGGTGACACTTTCTATTGAGGCAATACTTAGTTGTGAGCTACCCGTCTTTCTTGGAAGGTGGGTTGTGATTTTTTTTTTGAGAGCGAGAGAGAGAGAGACAGAGAGAATTTTTAATATTTATTTTTTAGTTTTCGGTGGACACAACATCTTTATTTTATTTTTATGTGGTGCTGAGGATCGAACCCAGCACCCCGTGCATGCCAGGCGAGCGCGCTACCGCTTGAGCCACATCCCCAGCCCCAGGTTGTGATTTCATGAGGACTTCAGTCATGGTTCCTCCCTCTAGAAAGGGCCTGAATTTGCTTCTGCTGGATCCTGTCCATGATTAGGTTAAGCTGACGTGTAAGTTGGGTTTTCCCTGGGTAGATCCAGGTCATGTGAATGTGGGCTGTGAATCCACAAGAAGGTTGGCCTGTGTTGTGGCTTCTCAGAGGGGGTTCCCCCTTTTCTGCCCATGCCTAGGTACTACTCCTCCAAGTTGCTGAAGGTGAAGTTATTTCTAGCTCATTTCCTGCTGGATGTCAGTTACTGGGGGCCTTCCATTACACCTCCATCTCGGCTTCATCTGTCCCATTTTCTAGATTGGGCAGACACATTCAGGGCAAAAACAATTCCATGGCTCCATCCAGTCTTTGGCTTGACAATTCTTCCCATCTCATCATTTTGATGATTTTATGAGTATACTATTTATATTTTATCCAGGGCTTTTGGTTGTTTTCAGCAGGAAGTGGGTCTAGAGATCTGCCATATACCTGGACATAAGGATACGTTGAGGCTTGGATAGGCTTTAAACAATTCCATACTGCTGCTGTAGATGGCATCCAGCAGAAGTTGTGGATCATGGCCAGGTCTCAGGGTCATCCAGGCTGCCTGTAACAAGTGTAGGATTTTGGTTGTATGATGTGGCCTCTTTGATCTTGTTTTTATGGAAAGAAAGACACACACTTTGAGGTGACTGTGTGACACCAGCTGGGTCATAGTCCTGTGACTTCAGTGTGGACCTCACTGACCACTGGTGGGTGGGGGAAAGTCATTCTCTATCGGGTCCTGCCAGTGAAATGTGGGGAGGAAAAAAGGGGCAGGACTGACTGTCCAGGGTACTGATTTCTCTGCTGGGCATCAGTTACTTTGTCCACAGTTCACTTTGCTTTGACCACTAGGATCCTGGGCTCCTTTTTAAAAAATATGTTTTTAATTTTTTAGTTATAGATGGACACAGTATCTTTATTTTGTTTATTTATTTTTATGTAGTGCTGAGGATTGAACCCAGTGCCTCACATGTGCAAGGCAAGTGCTCTGCCACTGAGCCACACCCCAGCCCTGGGCTCCTTTTATTTACTGAGTAAACACTGCCAGGAATCTCCCAGGGCCACACTTGAGCTGAGGATAGAGGAGAAACACACCATGTGCACATGCACACACACACACACAGACACACATACACACACAGACACAACAGACATGCACACAGGTACACACTCAGGCACACACACACAGACATGTAGTTACAGAGACACATATAGACATGCAAAGACATACAGACATATGCATAGATACACACAGAGACACATGGACACATAGAGACACATATACAAATGCACACGGGCTCAGACACACAGACACATAGACACAAACACATGGACACACAGATACATACAGATACAAAAAAGGGACAGGACTGACTGTCCAGGGCACTGATTTCTCTGCTAGGCATCAGTTACTTTGCCTACAGACTATGCAGACACACACATACATAGACATACAAACACAGATACATAGACACACATAGACACACAGACACAAACACACAGATATGTAGACATAAACATACAAACACACAGATACACACAGACTCACAAACCAGGCACACAGACATACACAGATACACAAACACACAGATATGTAGACACGGACATACAAACATACAGACACATAGATACAGACAGACTCACAAACTAGACATACAGACAAACACACAGACACATAGACAATCAGACACACAAACACATAAACACAGACACAGACACACAAACACACAAACACAAAGACACACAGACACACAAACACAGATGATAGACATGCATACAGACACATGGACACATACATACACAAAAATACACAGACTTAGATACATATAGACACACAGATATGCAGAACACATGGAACACAGATGCACACACAGACACACAGACACTCAGTGATACAGACATACAGACATAGACATACTCACATACCCAAACATATAGACACACAGATACACAGAGATACATCCAGACACATAGACACAGACACATGAGGCAGAGCCACGACAACAGTAAAATCCAGCTCCTGGAGGAGTGTGAGGTCAGGGTGAGGTGAGGGGTTGCAGGGTGGCCTTCCTTCTGGAGAGAAGGGGTGTAGGGATGTCGTGGGCTATTACATGAGCTGAGCCTGCAGATGTGCTGGTGGGACAGGTGAACATGGGGATGATGGGCATTTAGATACAAGAAAACATAGAGGGCCAAGATGCTGTGTGTTCTGGAAGAGAGAGGATGCTGAGCCCTAAGCCAATAGGCTGTGCTGGGGGAATGCAGCCAGTCTCTGTCCCACTGTCTGCCTGCAGGTGGCAGGGGCCCACAGCTGAGCCAGGTCTGTGTGCATACCCTCCTGCCCCACCTTGTGGTTCCCTGGGGTCTTGGGATGTGGTGGGTGTTAGGGAAGCTCCCATGGACAGAAAGGGCATTCCCACACAGGCCCTCTGGTATATCCACTGGTACCTGTCTGCCTGTTCTATTTCACTCATGATGACCCCTGTGCAATCTTCCTCTTGTGGGTGGAGGTGAGGTGAGCACTCCAGTTCCCTCAAGTCTGTGAGCCCAACACCTCAACCCTATCTGTGGTCCCAAGCCTTTGTACTAGAACTTAGGGGGCCCCAGAACCTTCCCTGGCATGAAAATGGGGAGGGCTGTGGCCTCTTTTGTGGTGGCTGGGGGTACTGTGGTCTGATGGAGTAGGTTGCTGTACAGAATATGATTTGGTCTGTATCCCCCATTTCCATATCAAGGTGATTTATCAAACACCTTTTTGGTGCCCAGTTGAGCTGCAAAAGAGAGAATACAGGATCTTGACACATTTGCCCTCTGGGAAAGCAACATTCATTCATTCCCCTGACAGGTTTTTGCTAAAGGAGGGGAAAGCAGTGAGAAATTTACAGAACACCAGTAACAAAGGCTTCATAAAGATGGGTCTTCTGTGGGCACAGGACTTAATTTAGCAAACTCAAGAGCCTCATGGTCCTGTTTCCCTCTTTAGAGATGGGGAAACTGAGGTAGAGCTCCTAACCAGTGAGGCTGTGTGAGGTAGATCTATCCCATTCCAGTCTGGAGTCTCTTTCCTGCTCCCTTCCACGGTCTCTCCTATAACCCAACACTGGTTGCCAGGACACAGACAGCAGCCCCCCCCCCCCCCCACACACACACACACTCCAGGGCACATACACACGGACTCTCCTTTGATTATATGATAATGTGCAAAGCAAGGGTTGGGTGAAGGTGAAGGAAGTTTAGGAGCTGGTAGGTCCTTCACCAGGAAATGGGATGACCATGATGTGGGATGGGTCCTGGGGGACAGGAAGTCCCTGCGTAGTGGAAGGGAGGATGTTCCTGAGGGGAAAGTGTGTGGGGTGAATTTGCAAGGTTGGAGGGGATGAGATGTTTTGTGGGAAGATGCTGGGAAGGCCAACTGGAAAATCCTGGGGCAAGGACTGCCTCAGACTCAGGTCTCCTTAAATCAGAGTGGGGCTTGTATAGGGCTGGGTGGTCCTTACCAGCTCAGAACTCTGCTCCTTCTATAGGCCATGGGGTGGTCCCCACATCTCAGATCCCTTCTCAGAACTGTTGCAACCACCACCCACCACCCCTGGGTTGGAGCTGGAGCCTCCTGGCCATTACTGATGTGCCTAGGACCCCTCCTCACCTCGGGAGGATTCTCACTGCTGCTTGCTCCCTGCATCATTGCAGTGATGAAGGGGCAGACTTGCCTCCTGGGTGGGTCTCCTTTTTGGGAGAGGGGAGGTCAGGGCAGAGAGAAGAGTTGCTTGCCTATGAGGGCACATCAGGAGGTGCTGCGAGAGGTTGTGCTTGCCGGAGTCCCTGGGGCACCCCTCATGTTAGCCTGTAGAATTCTCATGCTGTCCTCTTCCCAGGTGGGTGTGCCCGAGTGTGCGGCTGCAATGAGACCCGGATGCTGGAACGGCTGCCTCTGTGTGGGAAGGCCTTCGCAGACATGATGCAAAAGGTGGACGTCTGGAAGTGGTGCAACCTGTCTGAGTTCATAGTGTGAGTGCCCTGAGAGGTCAGGTACCCTGACCCACACTGCCCATGGCCCCACCCACACCCTGCCCTGGCCCCAGTCCCCCCCATGGCTCTGCCCTTTGCCCCACCCACAGCTCACGCACAAACCCACCTACACACTCCGTCCACTAGCTGCCCAGGGCCCTGCCCACCCACAGGCCTGGTTCGCAGATGCTCCCAGGGTCTTTCTGTCTGGCTTAGCCGCATAGGTTTGTGGGCAGTTGTCGTTGGCAGTATTTCTGGGCAGCAGTTCCATGGACAGATCTGGAGTCCTGAGAGTTACAGAATGTTGTTCTCATCACATCAAGATGCCAGGCACTTTCGAGAGAAAGGATTTTTCAGAGTAGTGTTAGATGATTTTCCTGTCCCAGATCACCTGGTGGAGCAGAGTGGGTGGGCAGTGGAAACTGGGAACTTCTGGGGGTCAAAGGATTTGCCCATGGACCTGGCTGTTTAGGTGCTCCTAGAGCCTGGGCACATCCAGGGGCTGCATTATGTCTGAGGCTCCAGAGGGTTACCTAGGAAGGCACAAGTGTATGGCTTGCGTTTCAGCCTTGGTGCTGTAACCCAGCCTGGGATGAGTCAGGAGCCTGGTGGAATCAGTCAGGAGTCTGGTTGGGTGACTCAACTCAGGTTTCTCCACACTGCCTAAGAAAGAGTAGCTCAGGAGGGCCTTTGTGAGATGCAGACTCGGATGTTGTTCTGTGCAGGAAGCTCCTTGCAGGAAGAGGCCCCTTCCTGTTGATGGGACAGGTCAGCCACTCCCTCTTGGAACAGTACAGAAAGGAGGAGGTGGGCCTGTTGCCTGACCCCTTGGGAAAGTTGAGCCAGGACCCTCCTTCTCCTGTGTCTGTCGTGCATCTGCAGCACAGGCGTGGGAAAGTGCTGCTCTGTGTGGGAGCTGCCGGCTCTTGGCAGGTGTCCACCCAGCTTCCTCCAGAGCATCTTGAATGGATGGCTGCCATTGTCAGCCCTGAAGATCCTAACAGCAGGATGGTCACCACCTTCAGAGGCTGCTTACCAAATTCCAGGTCAGGTGGCTATTGGAAAATCCTTATATACGTCAGGCTGAACTCTAGGTTCAGTTAGCCATGGTCCTTAGTCAACCTCAAGAACTGACTAGAACCTGCCTACTGGACAGGCAAGGTTCATCATGGGTGGTTTGCTGAGAGCCATTCCCATGTATTTTAGTCAGCTTTTTCGTTGCTGTGACTAAAAGACCTGGTCAGAACGATTGTAGAGGAAGAAAAGTTTATTTGAGGTCTCAGTCCATAGAAGTCCGGCTCCATTCCTTGGGGCTCCAGGTGAGGCTGAACATCACAGTAGAAGAGTGTGGCAGAGGGAAGCAGCTCACATGTTAATCAGAAAGCAGAGAGACTCCCCTGGCCAGATACAAATACATACCCCAAAGGCATATCCCTCTAGTGCCCCACTTCCTCCAGCCATACCCTCCCCCCTTCAGTTCTCACTCAAGTAATCCCATCAGGTGATTAATTCACTGATTGGGTTAAGGCTCTCACAACCCAATTATTTCCCCTCTGAACCCTCTTGCATTGTCTCACATGTGAGCTTTTTTGGGGAATACCTCACATTTACAGCATAACACCATGTTTGATCACATGAACAGGGAACCCCCTTGAGATGCATGTTTCCTGCCAGGTGGGGCAGAGAGAGGCAGCTTCCCAGCAGGAGACCCAGGTGGGTGGGGCTCACAGATCTGATACTCCCAGTTGCCACTTGGTATATGAGAGCAGGTTGACTTGGTTAGAAGGCTACTGGCCCTGGCCTCAGACAGACCCTACTTTTGGATCCTAGGGTGTCCCTGGATGATGAGGGCCTTGCAGGTCCATGTGGCTGTGGCCCAGGTATCTTTTGGCCCTGGAAAAGTAGCACTTGGCTTGTCCTCTGGGCAGACTAGGGTGGTGCTGGGTGTTGGGGGCTGGGCCCAAACTTTGGGTTCTAGGAGCTCAAGTCCTCAAGGGGGCAGGAGACACAGACAGAAGGGCATAGATATAGATGACCCATGTAGTTGGGAGTATGGAAGTGGCTTTCAAGGCCACACTTTGAGTTGGTGTCCAAGTAGGACTGGGCCTAGAACATTTCCCACCTGTCCTGTTGGCCTGGGGTCAGGGGCAGGCATGAAGGACCCTGGGGAGCATTGTGATCTCACTTTCTGCCTTTGCAGGTACTACGAGAGTTTCACCAACTGCACCGAGGTGGAGACTAATGTTGTAGGCTGTTACTGGCCCAATCCACTGGCCCAGGGCTTCATCACTGGCATCCACCGGCAGTTCTTTTCCAACTGCACAGTGGACAGGACCCACTGGGAAGACCCCCCAGATGAGGTGCTCATCCCACTGATCGTGGTGCCTGTCCTGTTGACTGTGGCCATGGCTGGCCTGGTGGTGTGGCGCAGCAAACGCACTGACCAGCTCCTGTGAGAGCCCATTAGACAGAAGACCATGTCAGACAAGCTGGAAGAATGTTCCTGGGGCTGCGAGAGCTGGTGGATGGATGTCATTACTGTCTGGTCTGCTATGGCTGCATCTCACTCCATTCAGATTGATAGTCCCTGGTGACTGGCCTGTTGCCTGACTGGGACTCAGGCTGCCCTCTCAAGCTCTTCACTCTTCCCTGGGCCAGTGAAAGAAAGTGACAAAGCCAGGACTTGTGTGCTGGGCATGGAAATCATCCTCTGCTGAACCCTTCACTCCCCTGTGCTAGGCCACCTTGTCTCTAGCCATTTCCTTTCAGACTCTCTCCCTATGTCAGCCCCAGCCCTGGACCTAACTCCTCTTCAGCTGTGACCCTGACCCCATCTCCTGCCCAACCCTGGCCCCTGACCACACCCATGTAGAAAGGGTAGGTGAGAGCATTTGGCAAATGTTATGTGCTGTGGAACCCTGAGTCCTCCTGGTGGGGAGCCCAGATAGATCCACTGCTAGAAAGACTGAGGAGTGAGAGAGACTGGGGATCCCCAGGAGCCACGTGCAATCTGCAGATCTTCCTGATTCTGAAGCTGGTGTGGGTAGAGTGGGGCTGTGAGGACAGGGCCTTCCTTCTATGCTGGGGCTGGGGTGGGCTTTCTTCCCATGGGGCTCCCTGAAGAGTAAGGAACCCTGAGAGGGAAGTCTACATGCTAATGTTCTCTGTCTGCTGCTGTCTGCTATTTTTGAGTAAAGAGTCTCTCTAAGTCTGGAATTTCTGACTTTATTTCAGGGTATTTAAAAAGTTAGTGGCTTTCTTGGGACTGACATCCAAAATCTCTAAAATCTTTGAAATCTCTGAGGTCTTGTCTGAAAGTTTTTTTTTTTTTTATGGTTGGGTGTGTCTTTAATAACTTCAGTCAGCCGAGGTTTTTGCACTGCTGTGTTTAGAGCCTTGGGGAATACCAAGACCTATGAGGCACAGTCAGGCCCCCAAGAGTCCCTTCACTTGTTGGGGAGGCAGATACGCCAGCCCTGAATGCAGTGTGCACAGAAAGTGGGGTCCATCTGGGGATTTGGGAGAAGGTTCCCGGAGGAGATTTTGGAAGAGGGTCTTTAAGAATGAGTAGTTTCCCCCTTTGAAAGCATCACGAGTGAAAGCCCAGTGACATACAAGAACTTGGCATGGTTGGAGCCTGGGCTGTGTGAGCAGATTTGGGAATGAAAGGATAGATAAGGAGGGAGCTAGAAAGGGGAGAAGGGGTGGTTAGGGGATGAAGTCTTTGCAAAGGTACATTATTCAGGGCACTGAAGGCTGACTTCTTTTGTGAAGCTGTTGTGTAGTTTGCCCCTCTTCAGCCCCATTTTAATTTCAGAACCTTTCTGCAAATTGGTTCAGACTTCAAGTCCATACAGAGGTCCTGTCTAAGGACATGGTCACTAACATTCTCCCAGGGTGACCACTCCTCCTTATAACCTTACTCATAGTGGGAGGGCAGTGATTGATTAAATAAATTTTGAATTTTTCAATTGATAGAATTGTATGAAGTTGGTTTTTTTTTTTTTTTGTACTGGGATTGAACTCAAGGGTACTCGACCCTTGAGCCACATCCCCAACCCTTTTATGTATTTTATTTAGAGACAGGATCTCACTGAGTTGCTTAGTACCTTGCTTTTGCTGAGACTAGCTTTGAACTCACTATCCTCCTGCCTCAGCCTCCTGAGCTGCTGGGATTGCAGGTGTGTGCCACCATGCCCAGCTGTATGAAATTTGATGACTAAGCCCAGTGGGTTGGCAGAACTATAAGAGACCCTGGAATTTTTTTCCATTATCAAGGAAATAAAAATACAGAATATAAACTAATATTAAAACACATCTTCCCAAATGAAGCTCTATGCATGAAATTGAAATGCAAACTCTGAGAGGTGGTGGGAGAGAAAAATCAGCCACCCGATCTTTGCAGTGGACTTGGGAAAGGTACTTTCGGGGGTTGGAAAGGACTGTCAACGGAAGGTGAGACTTTCCTCTGGCCACCTCACCCCTGACGACTTGGCAAACCAAATCAGGAGTGCAGGGCAGCTGCCAGAGGGTGGCAACCCTTCTCGTTGGCCTGGATGTCTTCTGGAGGGACTGTAAGTCCTGTTGCTGAGATCCCTGTGGTAGCAGCCTGACTCTGTCCTTTTGAGGCTGACCAGGGAATGGCTTGTGAAACGGTTTGCAGAAGTCACGTGGCTAGAGGGGAGATCTCCAGAACAGACAGGCCCAAGTCTTGCAAGTTCTGGCAGTCACTTATGGCACCTGGGGGGATATCCTGGGGGACACTGGGCAGCTTGTGGGCTGAGCAGCTGCATTGTGGATGGGATAGCAAGGACTCAGTATCACTCTTAAAGGGTGATTGTGCAGAATGGAGAAGGAAAAGGCATGTCTTGCTGGCCTGCTTCTGGAGTCCCAGCATGCTCTGAAACAAGCTTCAAGTCCAAACAGAGGTCCTGTCTGAGGACATGGTCAGTGATGTTCTCCCAGAGTGACCACTCCTCTCTATGTCCTTGTTCATCATGGGGAGGCAGTGATTGATTAAATTGATTTTTAATTTTTCAATTGATAAAATTGTATGAAGTTTTATGACTAGGCCCAGTGGGTTAGCAGGACTTTAAGAGACCCTGAGTTTTCTTCCAGTATAAAGGAAGTAAAACTATAGATCATAAACTAATATTGAAACATGTCTTCCAAAAAGAAGTGAGAAGCTTCATGAACCAACAACCATAATTGGTGCAAATCAGAAACAACAAACAAACAAACATTTGAAGTCTCTGAAAATTGTCCTGAGGCTACATGGAAAACAAAGAAACATTTACTAAAGAAAAACGTACTAAATCTGGATATGAACATAGAGAGCATGAAGTCTTCTGGAGGTTTCCAGTGTTAACCAAGGAACTGTCCAGGAAGATGGAAGAAAAGACCAAAAAAAGGCCAGTCTTGGTGACTCTGATGTCCCCGGCACCAAGTATCCACCAAGTATGCTATGTGGATGACCCTCCTGATCCCCCTGAAGGGATCCTGCATTAGGGAGGTCAGGGGACTGGGCTGCTTCAGCATCAGGTCTTAGTGTGGATTGGTGAGGTGGCCTGAATGATTTTGGGAACTGGCCCTTCTTGCTCTTCTCTTTCAGGTCACACACTCTTTCTGTTGGAATCCTCAGTAGTTGCTTTATCTGAGAGCTCTCTCTCAAACTATGCTCACGTACAGAGCTGATCCTTGGGACTTTGGGGCTGTGGGTGTCAGGAACATGGTAAGGAGCTGCCAGGCAGATCATGTGCACCTGAGACAAGTCATACTTGTGCACAATTAGGTTTTCTAATTTTGATTTTCTCTTCCTTGTCTATGATAGGGCATGAAATACAAAATCAAGGACAAGAAGAGGGCCCTGGTCCTTGTTCCTTGACCAAAGGCAATCTTCCTCAACACACTAACATGATTGTGCACCTGACATGTGGTGCTGTCAACCCCAGGCTGCCTGGGACATTCCTTTGGGTCTCCCAATGAGTGAAACATATATCCATTATAAAATATTTCTGATTTATTTCTTGTAGTTTGGGTATGAGGTATTTCCCTCAAACCTCCTGTGTTAATGGAGGAATGTTTGGAGGTTAAATGATTGGATTGTGAGAACTGTGACCTAATAAGTCCATCCTAATTTGAAGGGACTGAGTGGTAACTTTAGGCAGATGGGATGTGGTTAGAGGAGATGGGGTGCCCTAAAGGGGTTCATCTTCCCTGCGGCTCCTTCCCCACTTGCCTCTCTCTGCTTCTTAGCTGCCATGAGCTGAGCAACTTTTCTCTACTATACCCTTCCACCATGATGTTCTGCCTCACATGGGTCTGGAGCAATGGAGTCATCCATTTATGGTCTGAGAACTCTGAAACTGTGAGCCCCCAATAAATTTTTCTTCCTCTAATTTTTTTTTGTTGTTTTTCCGGTATTTTGGTCACAGTGACACTGGTGCAAAGCTAACACGTTTATTTACTTATTTTTGTGGTGCTAGGGATTGAACCCAGGGCCTCATGCCTGCTAGGCAAGTGCTCTACCACCAAGCTATACCCCTAGTCCTATTCTGGAATAAAATCCACCAAAATATGCTGAACCCCACCCTGAGCCAGCCCCCTGCAAGGAAGCCTCATGCACATTTGTAACTTAAATGCATTCAAGCTAGGATTGTGTTGGATTGAGCTTTGGGCCCATTTCCACACCAATCCCCCCCCCCCCCCCCATCCACCCACCAACCCCTCTGTGGTTTTGCAAACATTAGTAAAATCAAACATTAGTAAATGTTGATGGGTCCAAATGGAGAGAAAGCTGTTCTTTCAGCTTAAGCATCTACGCTGCATGTTTTTTTTTTTCTAAGTATTTCAGTCCAGAAGGCTGTGAAAGGGACTCTGTTCCACAGCTGCACCAGTTCTTCATGGGGGAACAATCAAGACAGGATGCAACAAGCACATCGTTGCTCTTACAGTGAACTTGGGCACTGTGCTCACAATATGGCACATTCATGGAGCCTCTTTGCTACAGAGATTTACTTTGCTCTAGAAGCATTGTTTTAATTTTACAATGGGAAGACTGAATTCACAATAAAGGGATCAGCACCAAATAGATGTAGGTATGGCAATAAGATATTTGGGAAGTAAATGCTCTTTCTGTTATCTACCCTTCATTAAACAGGGCCTGGAATTGTAGGGAGAGGTTTCCACTAAGATACCACATTTTTTCTTAAGGGCTCCCTTCTCAGCTTAAAGAGAGAATGAGGCCAATCCATAAAGAGGTAAGTGAAGAAAGGGTGTCCAGAAGGATGGGTTTAGGTTTCGCTCTGTGCTCTTGAGCCCACAGAGGAAGTGGTATTTCAGCCAGCCCTTGGATGATGGGTGCAACTGGAATATGCAGAGAAGCAGCTGCATATGACATCATAGCTTCAAAGGATCCAGAGCAGGAATGAGCCAAGACATGAAGATAAATCACCCAGTTAATAAACATTAAGGGAGATTTGAGCAGATCTTACTCAGAAATCAAGATCAACTAAACACACACAAAATGTAGGAATATACAGGTTTTGCATAACAGTAAACAAACTTGATATAACATCTTAATATTTATCACCTATCTACCTATGTTAGTCAGTTTTCCATCTATATGACAAAATACCTGAGGTAATCAATATAAAAAAGGGTACAGGTTTGCTAAACGTTTTGTAGTAGAGTTATATTATATTGTATAAATTTCATCTTAATTTTTTTTTTTGGTGGTACTAAGGTTCTAACCAGGGCCTCCTACATGCTAGGCAAGCATTCTATCACTGAGCTACATTCTCAGCCAAGATGAAGTTAACTTATTTTGTATTGTTTGGGGGAGAGATTTTGAGTCCTGTGGTTGGGCAGTTTAACACCCTTCTTTCATTTATGACCCAAACAACTAGATCAGTGAATCAGTAACACTATAGAACATTTCAACTTAACCATCAATCAGGGTGACCTAATTGATCTTTATAGACCACTATACCCAGAAACTGAAGAAATGTATTTGCAAGGACATTTGGCATCTTTACAAAAGTAAGATTTTCTTCCTGAGGATAAAAAGAATAATCTCAGACATCATTATCCAAATTACATGTATGAAGACATGAATTGGGAGTCAACATACTTTATATAAAGAGATATGAAAAATTGTGGTATATATAGGTAATAAGAATTGTAATGCATTCCACTGTCATTTTTTTAAATCAATAAAAAACCTCAATACATTTCAAAAATTTAGAGTGAGACAGTGCCCACATGAAAGTAAGAAAACAATAACAGTAAAATACATAGAAAATCCCCCAAATGCTTAGAAATTGAGAAGAAATGTTTATAATCCATGGGTTAAGGAAAAACCACAGGGTAATTCTTAGTCTTAATTTGACAAAAATGAAACCACAATATATTAGAATTTGTGTGATGTGCAGAGAAGTCTTTAGTGAAAATTAGTAGTGTTGAGTGCTTATGTTAAGAAAGAAGCACAATTTTTGATAAATGATGATTCCACGTTTAGAAGCTAGGGGAAAAAACCAAAATAAACCCAAAATAAGTAGAAGAAAGGAAATTTTATTTTATTTTAATTATTTATTTAATTTTTTTGTAGTTATAGCTGGAAAGTATGCCTTTATTTTATTTATTTTTTATGTGATGCTGAGGATCGAACCCAGTGCCTCACACGTGCTAGGCAAGTGCTCTGCCACTGAGCTACAGCCCCAGCCCAAGAAAGGAAATTTTAAAGAGAGGAAATTAACAAAGTTAAAAGCTGGCTGTCTGGAAAGTAATTAAATTGACAAAACCCTAGTATGATTGATGAAAAGAAAAAGAAAACAACCCTAAAAGTTATTGATGCCAAGAGGAATACCAAGTAAACAAAGAACTTAAATGACTCAATAACAAGAAAAGAAATATCTTGATTAAAAAATGGGCGAAGACAATCCCAACAAACAAGAGATTGAAGGTTTTCTCTGATAAGTGGATGCTAATCCATAATGGAGGGGGCATGGATGAGTGGAAGAACTTTGAATGGGACAACAGGGAGTGGGCATAGGGCAAGGGGGTAGGAAAGATGGTGGAATGAGATGGTCATCATTACCTTAGGTGCATGTGTGATTACAGTAATGGTGACTCTACTTCATGTACAATCAGAAAAGTGAAAATTTTCTTCTCCATTTGTGTACAATGAATCGAAGAGCTTTCTACTGTCATGTATAACTGATTAGAAGTAATTAAACAAAGCAAAAAAAAAAAAAAGAGGGCAAAGAACCCAAATAACATATCTCAAAAAAACACATACAAATGACCAATGATCAATAGGTATATGAAAAAAATTCTCAACATCACTAATGATTGGATAAATTAAATTTATAACCACAATGAGATGTCTCACACCTGTCAAATGACTATTAGAAAGAAGACAAGAGATAACAAGTGTTGGTGAACATAGGGAGCATGGGGAACGCTGCTCTACTATTGTTAGGAATGTAAATTAGTACAGCTGTTATGGAAAACCATATGGAAGTTCCTCAAAAAGTTAAAAACAGAACTATTATATGATCCAGCAATCATATATATATATATCTATATCTATATCTATATATATATATATATGACAGAATGTACATATATTATAATAAAGCAATGTGTGTATATATATATATATATATATATATATATATATATATATCTCCAAAGGAAATGAAATTGGCATGTCAGAGAGAGATCTGCATACCTGTGTTCATTGAAACATTATTCACAAAAGCCAGAAAAATGGAATCAATCTAAGTGTCCATCAACAGACAAGTAGATAAAGAAAATTCAGTCATAAAAAGTAAGTTGTGCCATTTATAACAACATGGATGAATTTGGAGGACATTATGCTAAGGGAAATAAACCAGGTTCAGAAAGTCAAACACCACATGATCTTATTTATATATAGAATTTCTTAAAAAATAGAAAATAAAATGGTGGGTACCAGAGGCTGTAGAGGAGGGTACACTGAGGAGATATTAGTGAAAAGATAAAATTTAAGTTATATAGGAAGGATAAGCTCAAAAGATATGTTGTATAATATGGTAACAATAGTTAATAACAATGACTTATATACTTGAAAATTGCTAAATGAGTAGATTTTAAGTACTCTCACCACAAATATATGTTTAAGTATGTGAGGTGATGGATCTGTTAATTAACTTGATTTAGCTATTCCCACAGTGTATACATATTTCAAAATATCATATTACCTCATAAATATATACAATATCAATTAAAAAAAGACATCATGATAGATCCCACAGACATTAGAAGGATAATACAGCAATATTATGAATAAATTTGTGCCAATGAATTAAAAAATCTAGATTCAATGGACAAATTCCTTGAAAAACAGTTTATATCTTTATTTTATTTATTTATTTTTTATTTTTATGTGGTGCTGAGGATCGAACCCAGTGCCTCATGCATGCTAGGCGAGCACTCTTCCACTGAGCTACCACTATAGAAAAAGCAATCATGAAATTCATCTGGAGAAATAAAAGATCCAGAATAGCTAAAGCAATTCTAAGCAGGAAGAGTGAAACAGGTGGTATAGCGATACCAGATTTTAAACTATACTACAGAGAAATAGTAACAAAAACAGCATGGTACTGGTACCAAAACAGGCAGGTGGACCAATGGTACAGAACAGAGGACACAGAGACCAATCCACAAAATTACATCTACCTTATATTAGACAAAGGTGCTAAAAGCATACAATGGAGAAAGGATAGCATCTTCTACAAATGGTGCTGGGAGAACTGGAAATCCATATGCAACAAAATGAAATTGAATCCCTATCTCTCACCATGCACAAAATGGATCAAGGAGCTAGGAATCAAACCAGAGACTCTGCGTCTAATAGAAGAAAAAGTTGGCCCTAATCTCCATCTCGTGGGGTTGGGCTCCAAATTCCTTAATAGGACACCTATAGCACAAGAGTTAAAATCAAGAATCAACAAATGGGACGTATTCAAACTAAAAAGTTTTTTCTCAGCAAGAGAAACAATAAGTGAGGTAAATAGGGAGCCTACATCCTGGGAACAAATTTTTACCCCTCACACTTCAGATAGAGCACTAATCTCCAGAGTATACAAAGAACTCAAAAAGTTAAACAACAAAAAACAAATAACCCAATCAACAAATGGGCCAAGGACCCGAACAGACACTTCTCAAAGGAGGATATACAATCAATTAACAATTACACGAAAAAATGCTCACCATCTCTAGAATCAGAGAAATGCAAATTAAAACCATTCTAAGATACCATCTCACTCCAGTAAGAATGGCAGTCATTATGAAGTCAAACAACAACAAGGGCTGGCAAGGATGTGGGGAAAAAGGTACACTCGTACATTGTTGG